AAAAATGTTTTATTAATAAATTAATGTTAATTCAGATACTCTGAATTTCCTGTATGCTTTGTATACATTGTTGTTGTTAGGTGCCATTGAGTCAGTACCAACTCACAGTGACCCTATGCACAACAGAACAAAGCACTGCCTGGTCCTGGGTCAACCTCATAGTCGTTACTACATTTGAGCCCACTGATGCTGCCACTGTGCCAGTCTGTCTCCCTAGGGGTCTTCCTCTTTTTCTCTGACCCTTTACTTTACTAAACATAATATCCTTTTCCAGTGACTGGTCCCTCCTGACAATATGTCCGAAGTATAAGAGATGAACTTTGGCCATCCTGGCTGTACTCCTTCCAATGCAGATCTGTTTATTCTTCTGGCATTCCATGATACTTTGACTGTTTTCCAACACTGTAACTCAAACACCAATTCTTCTGTGGTCTTCCTTAGTCACTGCCCAACTTTTGCATGTGTATTAGCTTACTGAAAATACTATGGCTTGAATCAGGTGCACCTTAGTCCTCAAACTGACATCTTTGCTCTTCACACTTTAATTTTGCAACAGATTTGCCCAATGCAATACCTTGTTTGATATCTTGACGGCTGCTTCCATGAGCATTTGATGGTTGAGCTGAGCAATATGAAGTCACTGACAACTTCATATTTTCTCCGTTTATACAGCTTTACTTATTGGCCCAGTTGGGAGGATTTTTTGTTTTCTTTACGTTGAGTCAACCCATTTATGGGAAAAAGAAGTGAAAAGATATGCAGTTTTTTTCCACAAAATGTTCAGAGCCCCTTTATATACATAACCAGGTAGACACTGCTGAGTGAATATCAGCAAGATTTTGTCTGTACTGCCCAGGCAGAGCAACTGTAGCACATTAAGAAGCTTTATAATAAAGTTTATATTATTGGTACTAAAGTATCTAATGTTTTAAAATTGGGAAAGCTGTGCAACAAGGTTGTGTTCATTCACCATACTTATTCAACCTGTATGCTGAGCAGATAATACAAGAAGCTGGGCTCTATGAAGAAAAACGAGGTGTCAGGATTGGAGGAAGACTCATTAACAACCTGCGATATGCAGATGGTACAACCTTGCTTGCTGAAAATCAAGAGGACATGAAACATTTACTGATGAAGATCAAAGAACACAGCCTTCAGTATGGAGTGCATCTCAATGTCATGAAAACAAAAATCCTCACCACTGGACCAATAACATTCTTACCAGTGGAGAAAAGATTGAAGTTGTCAAAGACTTCATTCTTCTTGGATCAACTGTCAACATTCACGGAAGCAGCAGTCAAGATATCAGACAACGTTTTGCATTAGGCAAATCTGCTGCACAGATTAAAGTGTTGAAGAGCAAAGATGTCAGCTTGAGGACTAAGGTGCGCCTGACCCAAGCCATGGTATTTTCAATAATCTCATATGGATGCAAAATCTAGACAGTGAATAAGGAAGATCATAGAAGAATTGTGGTGTTGGAGGAGAATACTAAAAGTGCCATAGCCTGCCAAAAGAACCAATAGATCTGTTTTGGAGGAGGTACAGCCAAAGTGCTCCTTGGAGGCCAAGATGGCTAAACTTGATCTCTCATACTTTGGACATGTTGTCAGGAGGGAACAGTCACTGGAGAAGGATATCATGCTGGGTAAGAGGGAGGGTTGAAAACGAGGAAGACCCCCAAGATGAATAGGCCAGGTGGCATCATTGATGGTGTCAAGTGTGGCAGCGGTAGTGAGGTTGGTTCAGGATCAGACATTGTTTCGTTCTGCTGTGCATGGGGCTCTGAGTCAGTTCTGACTCAATGGCACCTCACAACAACAACAACAAAGTATCTAATGATTACAGCTTCAATATTAATTATTCTACTGTACCACTGAACTTTTTGAATAGCTGCTTTTCCCAAGCAGGTAATCCATCTAGCAGCAATTATTTCTGGTAGAAATAATTAATACAAAAATAAATTTTGCCAAAATCAGTTTTACCTAGGGGGTACAGATTTTGATCAGAGAAATTTAAGAATAGGAAAGAAAATAAACTGATCCCAACTAAAATAATTGTAGAAAAATTAATGGGGAATAAATAGATATGATTTAAGTATTTTTAGGAAATAGATTAAGGAATTGAACTGACATAAAGAAAATTCTTCATGTCAGAATTCTTAATTGTTGATAAGGGTTTTTAAGTCAGTTCCAACACATAGCAATTCTATATAGGGATTCAAAGGAGCAGCTGGTGGGATTGAACCGCCAGTCTTGGCAATTACTCCAGTGCTTATCCTACAGCACCACACCAGGACTCCATAATTTATAATAAACTGTTAATTTTTTTTTTGAACTTTTAATTATGAATTGGGTGGGGGTTCACAGAGCAGATCATCAGTTTACATTCAATAATTCATACACATTAGTTTTTTAAACTTTATTTTAGTAGGTATATGCATATATAAAATACCAACGATAATCATAAAGTTGATTCAAATACATCCACAGAGTCAAAATGGTGGTGGTATTAAAACAACAAAGAAGCTTGTGTCAATGTAGTCTGCATTTATCTCCACATTAAACAAATTCTCACAGGTGTTTAGGTAATTACCTCAAATCTAAAGCAGTTTGATTCTTTGGGAGTTCATTTGTTGTTGCTATTGTTGTTAAATGCCATGAAGTCGGCTCTGACACATAGTGACCCTGTATAGGGTGTCCGAGGAGCACCTGGTGAGCTTAAACCGCTGACCTTGCAGTTCAGACAGCTTTGCAGTCTGGCACATTAATCCACAGTGCCACACCAGGATTCCATTTAGAGACCATAATATGTTTGGCAATTTAAACAAATTCTTTGTAGATAGCTGCCCATGAGTTAGCGCCCTGACTATAACATGCCTGGTTGACTTCAAATATTATTGCCATTTTGACTTTTGCTTAGTTTATTTTTATCAAATATTTCTGATACTAGAAATACTCCATTCAAGAAAACCAAATTATATTATTATAAATACTTATTTATAATTAAATTTGGTATTTCATGTTAATGTGTAAATGTGATATTCAATTTAATATGTAAATTTAAATAGTATATTTAAATAGAGAAAAATAGTATAAGACAGATGAATATCTTAAAAGCAGCAAATGACTTTAGTATATTTTCATTTTCAGTCAACATTTTTATGGAGTACTACAGAAAGTTCCCTCCAGGTATACACTTTGATTTACAAGTGCTAAATGACCTTCTGAATTCTTTACTCAAACATTGTTTATTGAAAGAAGTATTTCAGGTAGTGAACCTCAGCATAATGCTTAAAATGCTGGTAAGTAACCTAAAAATCCCCATATTTAAATTGTACGTGAATTTCTTTGTTGTATTTGATGTTTGTATAATTTAGTTACATTTCTGTTTGTTAACATTTCCTAGAGAACACTTGTGTTTTTCAGCATAAATGAGTTTGACAAGCTTACTGAAAGAAGACATGAAAATGAGTATAATTTTTTTGTTTTATCTAGCCTGCTCTGAAAATATTACTAAATATATTTGAGCATGTGGCAACTATGAACTTAAGGAATGCAATACCTGCTTTAATTGATATGTTTTGCAAGGTATGGTTTTATTTTCTCTTATTCTCTGTTAATAAAGAACCACAATTATTACTACTTACATCCTTAAACTGCCTTTTCTTCACATCATGGATGCCAAAGAATTCTATTTGCAGAAAAATTATCTGTCTCTTTAAATAGATTTTATAAACAGACTCCAGTGACTTGACAAGCCATCCCTTAAATAAATAGGTCCATATACTCAAAGTGATTATTTTCTGATTTGCAACTCTAGTCATATCTGTTCCTAAAGAATGAGTAAAGAAAATAGTCTTTCCCCAAAAGACTTGAGGTAGTTTATAACAAATTAACATATAAATAGAAAAACAAAGAAAGTAGACTTAGGAATTAGTTTTAATTCAACTTTAAACAAAAACAAATAAATTTCATGACTCAAAAAATAAATTAAAATTTTGTTTTTTGTTGAATACTTTCTAGTATTTGGTACTACTCACCCAGCCCACTTTAAAACAGCCTAATAGCAGCCAAAGGAGCCACTTTGATTAGCTGACTATCAAGTAGTTAATGAATATTTTTAGATTCACATTACAAAATTTGACAGAATATTTGGTCTGGAAATTTTCCAAAGCAAAAGATACTGGTCACCTGTAGTAGTTGTAGAAATTCAGTAAGGATCCTACAATTTGTCTGATATAAGTAGCTTGGCATTCTGCATAATGTACTCTAATTACTGTACAAATAAACCTAACTGATAATAGAAAATGTCTTGCAAAGACAGTGATTTTATTTTTGCATGACTAATATGGAGTTATTATTTCTAGAAATCATTTGATACCAGTACCAATTTCCCTGTTGAGACTATTTCAAAGTTCAGTGGTGATTAAAACCATGTAATTATTATAGAGGAAGATACTTTTCCTCCTCCTTGCTGGAGCAGTGTACCATACCCCTATCTAATTACCATACATATTATTAAGAAAAGAGCAATTAGCAACTTATTTTACATTGCTGTAGGTTGTTACCTAGTTTGTCAAGAAACAATTTCTAGTTAGCCTGGTATTTGAGCAGTGTTCAAATATTTGAAGTATTTTAATTTTACATATCTTCATGTTTCACTTCATCAGTCTTTTAATGATTTCCCACACATTAGCTTCTCAACTCTTTCACATATTTACAAAAGTGATTATTCTTTTCTACAGCTTGTTGAAGCTGGGATGGTACTTGACCCAGAACACTTTAACTATATTGTTAAGCTCTTATACCAAGTACAAGCTTCCAAACAAGAAATAACTGTGGTTATGAACTTAAAATCCAGGTGAGAAAAAGATTCCAATTAAGGCTAAAATATATGTCTTTTTTTTTTTTAATGGGAATTTATAAAGAATGAAGGTAACATACTTGGTGCACTTGTTGTTAGCTGCCATCAGCTTGGCCACTGCCTCACGGCAACTCCATATACCATGTAACAAAACCTGTCTGCATCCTGAAACATCCCCGTGATCAGTTGCAAATTGGGCTGCTTTGATACAGGATTTTTACTGGCTGATTTTTGAAAGTAGATTGCCAGGTCTTTCTTTATTATATGTATGTAAAACTAATTCTTACTGAGTTTATTCTGACTCAGATGACTCCCTGTGTGCCTGAGCTGAATTGTGCTCAGTAGGGGTTTCAATAGCTGATTCTTTGAAAGCACATTATTAGGGCTTTCTTCAAGGTACCTTTGTTGTTGTTGTTGTGTGCTGTGGAGTTTGTTCGACTCATAGCGACCCTGCGACCCTGTACAGCGTTTCCGAGGCTGTAAACCTTTACAGGAGCAGAACGCCTCATCTTTCTCCCACGGAACAGCCGGTAGTTTCAAACTGCTGATCTTGCTGCTCGCAGCCCAATTCATAACCACTATGCTACCAGAGCTCCTTTGGGTGGACTCAAATCTGCAACCTTTCTTTTGGTTAGCAACATATTGGTTAAAATGCACATTAACCATTTGCAACATCCTGGGACTCCTACATGAATTATGTTGTTAAGTGCCATCGAGTTGGTTCCAACCCTTAGCAACCCTTTATAGGATTTCCAAGGAGTGGCTGGTGGGTTTGAAGTGCCAACCTTGTGGTTCAAATTGACCTTGTAGAGTAGCACATTATCATGTACCTTAAGTTTTTTCTCTCTTGCACTCGCTCCTTGTCATGTAAGCCTACTGAAATACTTTAATGCCCTCCCTTATTCTTTCTTTCATTTATTCACTTTCTCTGTCAGGTTTTGAGCCCCCAAAGACCTTTGGGGTTTTTTTTTAACTTCTGATAATTATAAAAGTAGTACTATAACATACCTGTGTTGAATAAAAAGAGAGTCATTACTTTTAATTTTTTTTCATTTAAGTATAGAATATATAGAGAAAAGTATACAAATCATACATATTTAAGTGAACCATAACTTTTTCAATAATTTTTTTGTTCAAAATAGAGCAGAACATAGAATTCAACAATTTCTGCATTATAATTCATTGACATTCATTACCTTCCTCAAGTTATACAACCTTTTTCACCTTCCCTTTCCAAATTGTTCTTCCCCCTTAACTTAAACTCACTACCTCTTAAGTTTCCTGTGTAACCTTCTGAGTTGTAAATATAATCTCATATAGCTAGTTCTTTAAAAGAACACAATGCTCAGGTCATAAATTTTTTACCTAATTAAGCTCAACTATCGTTTGGAGTCTTGATGCTGAAGGATAAGCACTGGACCACAAGATTGGTTTGAACTGCAAAACCCATTAGCTGCTTTTTGGAAACACTACACAGGGTTGCTGTGAGTCAGAACTGACTTGACAGCACTTAGCAATAATATTTGGTTTAAAGAATACTTCAGGGATATTTTTTACTTAAAATTTAAGGATTATCTCAGGGCAATCGTTTCTGGCTCTGTGCAGCTTCAGTGACGCCAAAGAGTCTGGATTTCTTAATAGTTTGAAATTCTGTTCTGTATTTTCCCCCTTTTAACCAGGATTCTTCTATAGAATCTTAAAACTGAACTGTAACTTTTTAAATGAATTCATATTTGATAAAGTACAAATGGTATCAACCACTGAAATCCTTAAGAATGCCCAGAAATCACCTATTCAGAGCTTCCACAACTGTGAGGGGGCTTCACAAATTGATATACACGTGAGTAAAGACATAGAGAAGGCCACAGAAGAATTTATACATTTAAATTAGGATGCTGGCAAAGGATACTAAAAGTACCATGGACTTCCAAAAGAACCAAAACATCTTGTCTTAAAAGCAGTACAGCCAAAATGCTCCTTAGAAGCGATGTTGGTGAGACTTCATCTCATATATTTTGGACATGTTATCAGAAGGGAAGACATCATGCTTGGTAAAGTAGAAGGTCAGTATAAAAGAGGAATACTCAAGATGGATTGACACCATGGCTTCAACAATGTTCCCAAACATAGCAACAACTGAGGATGGTTCAAGACCAGGCAACATTTTATTCTGTTGTACACAGAGTCACTCTGAGTTGGAATACATATACATTTTTTGATTGTACTAAAATACATAAAACATAGTATTTGCAGTTTTGACCATTTTTAAGTATACTATTTATACTATTTAGTAGCATCATTGTTACTCACAGTGTCGTGTAACAATCACCACTGTCTATTGCCAAAACTTTTTCATCACCCCAAACAGAAATTCTGTACCCACTAAGCAGTAAATCCTCGTTCCTTCCTCACACCAGCCCTTGGTCACTAGAAATCTACTTCTTGTCCCTATGTTTTTGCTTCTAGATGTTTCATATAATTGAGACCATAAAACATTTGTCCTTTTGTGACTGATTTACGTCACTTAGCTTGTTTTCAAGGTTCATGCATATTATAGTTTATGTCAGAACTTCATTTCTCTTTGGTTGAATAATATTTGATTCGTTGTATGTGTTATCATTTTGTTTATCTGTGCATTTGTTGATGAACACGTGTGTACCTTTGGATACTGTGTATTACAAGGGTAGGTAAAAAACTATTGTTAGGAATTTATAGACCCCTTTATTAAACAAAAAGACATATCCTACATTTTGGTCTATAAACTTCTAAAGACAATGTTTCCATCTCTCTAACCCTCCCTGAAGAACTTTGCACTCTGCAGTTTACATCACATAAAAATGGTAGCTTTGGCATCCGTAAGGGACTGAAACCACATTCCTTTCAGTGTTTTGTGAGTTTGGAGAACATAAAGAAGCATGAAGATTCAAGAACAGGGCTGTAGGGTGGATGCAGTAAGGTTTCCTAATGAAATTCTCATAAGACAGCCCTTGCTGTCCTTGAATAAGCAGGTGTAATGTCATGATGGAAAGAAATTCCTTGATAAAACTTCACTTTGCTTTTTTTCACCAATGAAGTTTTCCATTTTCTTAAAACTTGTAATAAGCCCCATGATTCACGTGTGTGTGTAAAGTATCCTGACAAGACTAAGACAAGTGTATTACTGAGAGAACTTGTCTGCAGTCATCCACTAATCACAGAGACAAGTTTGAACACATTTTGTTTGGAATAAACCCATGCATATATGAACTGGAACCCTAGTAACAATACTTTCTCACTTTATGTATTTTCTTATATACACGCTGCTGCTACTGTTAGTGCTGTCGAGTCAAACGGTGACATACCATGGATAATTTGAGATTTGCTTTCTCACTTAACAGTTTTTACTAGAAATCAGTTCATTGAAAACTACATTCTTCTTAATAATTGCAAAGTATTCTGTTATATGGATATACTATAGATTATTCAGCCGCTGTCTGATGTATGGCATTAAAGTGTCCTCAGTATTTTGCAATTGTAAACAATGCTGCAGTGGTAACCTTGAAAGTATGTATTTTTATATAGTTGAAAGTGTATCTTCAAGGTACATTTGTAGGAGCACGTCTAAAAGTAAATGCATTAAAACAACCACTAAACTATACAAAGAGATACACTCAAAAATGCTATATATGATCAGAATGAAATTTGAAAAATGTTTAGGTAAATCACAGAAGAACAAGGAAAGGTAACTATAGGAATGAAAAACAGAACAAGCAGAAACCATGTAATAAAAGGATAGACTGAAGCCTTAAAATCAATAATTACTTTCATTGTAAGTATTCTAAATATAACAATTAACGATTAAAGAACAGATTGGAAGAGGGATATAAAAGTAACATTCATCTTTATGCTTTCTACCTGAAATGCCCATTATAAAGATAAAGATAGGGTGAAAGTAAAAGGAGAGAAACAGGTATGAATGGTTATGATAATATCACTAATATAGTAAATATCAGGGCAAAAGAAATTACCAGGCACAAAGAGGAACACTATTTAGTGATGAAATGGTCAGTACACCAAGAAGAGATACCAATTCTAAATGTGTATATTCCATACAACAGCAAAAATTATGATAGAATGAAGAAATAAATACATCTAGAATTATACTTGGGCTCTTCGACATCCTTCTCAGCAGTTGATAGAGGAACCAGATATGATATATGTACACACGTATATATGTAGATATATGTATATAATAACGCAACCAACAAGATCTAATAGACATTTGTAGGACAATCCACTCCAAAAACAGCATAATATACATCTTCAAATTCCCATAGAACATTCACTAAGATAACACCATATTCTAGATTTTGAAACTTTATACTTGAAGTTATGCAGAATATATTATCTGACCTAAAGAATTTAAACTGCAAGTCAATATGGAAAGATAACAGAAAAGTCTCCACATACTTAGAAATTAAACAGCACACTTCCAAATAATCCATTAGGCAAGAGAATGTGTCAGAAATAAAAGCTAAATGAGGAAAAATGAAAATATGATACCACAATTTGTGGGATGCCACTAAAGGAGTGCTAAGAAGGAAATGTACAACACTGAAAGTTTCTACCTCAGGAAACAAAAATAGCAAGATAAATGCAAAGCATAGAATAGAAATGATAAAGATGTGCTGGAAGCAAGGAGGCTGGAAACAAAACCAATGGAGAAAATTAAACAATTGGTGCTTTGAAAATAAAAGTAAAATTGATAAGCCTCTGGAAAGATTAATGAAGATAAAAAGCAGACACAAATTACCAGCATAAGGAAGGAAATGAGTTGTCAGTATAGATCGTTAAGTAATTAGATGGATAATACAGTATTATCTTGATCAAGTATACACATATAACCTCAATAATGTAGGTGCGATGAAGCAATTTTCAAAAAAGAGAACCCAAGAGTCAAAACTACATTAGTATCACTCATGAACTTAAATATAGAAATCTTCAAAATAATAGCATATCAACTACAGAAATACATAAAATAATTATACTGTATATCCATCAAAGTGGGGTATATGGTTCAATATTTGAAAATCAATATAATCCACCTATCAGCATTAGACAAATCACATGATCTCAATACACAATAAGATATTTAATAAGCTTCAACATTATACATGCATGATACATTCAGAAAAGAACAGAAATTTGTCATCCTGATAGCAAAAGTGTGGAAATATTTGAACAATATTACTATCAAATACAAGTAAAAGTTTTGTTGATGATTCAACAACAGTTTTAACAGAATATTCTTAAAGAACTGCTAGAAATCCAAGCCAAATTCAGAAGACATGGAAAGAGGAATATCATTGCTGATATCTGTTGGATCTTGACAAAGCAAATAATACCAGAAAGATGTTTTATTGTTGTTGTGTTTTATTGACTATGCAAAGACATCTGAATCTGTGGTTCATAACAAATTATGAATAACATTGCGAAGAATGGGGATTCCAGAACACTTAACTGTGTTTATGTAGAAGTTGGTACATGGACTAAGGCAGTTGTTCAAACAGCAAGGGCATACTGAGTGTTTTAAAATCGGGAACAGTGTGAGCAAGATTTGTATCCTTTCATCATATTTAACCAATTGATGCTGAGCAAATAATTCAAGAAGCTGAACTATATAAAGAATATGGCATTAGGATTGGAGGAATACTCATTAATAACCTGCGGTATGCAGATAACAAAACCTTGCATGCTAAGTGAAGAGCACTTGAAGCTCTAGTGAAAAAGAAATATAGATCACACTTAAAACAAATCCTCATAGCAGGATTCAGAAACAACATCCTGGTAAAATACTGAAGGCAAGGATTTAGTTTTACTTGGATTCATAGTCAATGCCCATGGAAGCAGCAGTCACAAAATCGAAGTATTGCATTTGGCAAATAGATTATGAAAAACTTCATTAAAATGTTAAAAGCTAAATTTGTCACTTTGAGGACTAAAGTACGCCTGACCCAAGTTATGGTGTTAAATGGAAGACCCACGAAGAATAGATGCCTTTAATTTATGATGTCAGTGAAGAATATTAAGTAGACCATGAACTGGCAGAAGAACAAATCTGTCTTGGAAGAAATACAGGCAGAATGCTCCTCAGAAGGGACGATGGTGAGACTTTCATGTACTTCGGACATGTTATCTGGAAGAACCAGTTTCTGGAGGACACCAGGATTGGTAAAGTAATAGGGTCAGCAAAAAAATAGGAAGAACCTCAATGATCTGGATTAACACAGTGACTACAACAATGGGCTCAAACAGCAATGAATGTGAAAATGGCACAAAACTGTGTAGTGTTTCATTGTTTTCGACACTATGAGTCAGAACCAACTCGTTGTTGAGTCGGTTCCGACTCGGTGGCACCTGGCAAAATGAAGAAATTTATAGATAACATCATACTCAAAGAATGTTTCCTCTTTAAAATCAAGAAATGACTAAGATGTGTGCTCACACCACTTTTATTCACTATAATACAGAAAGTCCTAGGTAGTACAATGAGCAAGAAAAAAATAAAAACCATATATTAATATTTTTTAGAGGCTCATCTTTCCATTTCTTTACTGACTTCAATAAATTCTGTTTTCATTTCACCCTCTTTTGTTCATTTCTGTTTGTACTGTTAATATCTGGCTTAAATAATTTTTTATGTCTTCAAATGCTTATTTGAGTATATTTAAATCTGTTTAGAATATTGACTTAAAAACAGTTTTCTTATACTTCATCATTGTTTCTCGGGACTGTTTTCTTAATATGTATGAAATTTTGCTTCCTGATTTTCTGCAATATCTCTGCATGGACTTTTGTTTATTTTTGTGATATTTGATTGTTTTACATCTAGTTCAATAGCACCCTCTTCTGTCTGCACGGGAAAATCTAGGTACTTTGCCCAAGTTTTGTTTATTTTGATGTGGTCAGAAGAGCTGGAGCTGTGAGTCCTCTTATTTTATGGTTTTGTTATTTTTTCAGAATCTTAAATCTCTCCCCCTTTTATTATTTTCCTCTTACCATTTGCCACAGGAACGTTTTACTTCATGTTTCTCTCTTTTTACCCCCAGAAGCTATGCATTTTAAGTTCCTTCTCTCTGTGGATAGCCCAGACACTTCCTTAGCATTTTCAAATGTTTATGGCAGTATTTTCTAATCCATTTTCTGTCTAGTAGCACTTCTCCTCTTTTCCTCACAGATTTTTGTTTGATAACTTTATTTGTGGTTTTTATTGTGGTTTGTCTTCTCATGGTACAATCCTGTGGAACATTGATTATAGGGTAAAAATCATTTGCTGGTATTTGAGGTTTTCTTTTTGTTTTTATTCATAATTATTTTAAAGTTTTAGTACTCATTTTCTTGAAGTTAGGCGGAGTGTGTTTTTTTTAATGTAAGATGCTTATTCCTTCTTGATGCCTATTGTTTACAGTGGAAATAATATTAGATAGGTAACTATTTAGTTGCCATACAGGGTCATTATGGGTTGGAACAACTCAATGGCACTTAACAACTACAACAAAGACTGTTTATACTATATACTGCATTCAATTTTCTATAAGCTCTTAGATATAAACAAATGGTGCAAGTGACGTAGGAGTAGTAGTAACTTTTGGGGATGAACGTAAGTATAATTAATCTTTTTCTGTTTGTTAAAGGTTACAGATGAGGCCATTTAAAAAGAAATGGAAGTGTGATTTAGATTCAGCCTTGATTGAAATACAGGTATGGCACAGTTTTGCTGTCTTTTTCTGTTTAACAGATGTATTTTTAAGAGTAATTTTAGGTTTACCTAAAAATTATACATTAAAAGACACTTTTTTTTTTTTTAAAGAAATTGCTGGGATTTCTGAAACCTGTAACAACAAAAAGTTGAAATAGTAATTACATTTTAAGAAAAGTTTTAGAAATATAACTGTTTTACATATAAATTGCTCAAGGAAAAGTTGTTAAGTGCCATCAAATCAGTTATGACTCATATTGACCCTGTGTAAGCTATGCCTTCTTTAGAAAGCATAAGTGACGACTATACACATGGACCTCACCAGATGGAATGCATAGAAATCAAATTGACTACATCTGCGGAAAGAGAAGATGGAAAGCTTCATATCATCAATCAAAACAAGGTCAGGGGCACACTGTGGAACAGACCGACCATCAATTACTCATATGTAGATTCAAACTGAAGCTGAAGAAAATGAAAACAAATCCACAAGAGCCACAATATGACCTTGAATATATCCCACCTGAATTTAGAGATTATCTGAAGAATATATTTGATACATTAAACACTAAAGACCGAAGACCAGAAGAGTTGTGGGATGACATCAAGAGCATCATACATGAAGAAAACAAAAAGTTATTAAGAAGACAAGAAAGATGGAAAAGATAAAAATGGATGTCAGAGGAGACACTGAAACTTGCTATCCAGTGTAGAGATGCTAATGCAAATGGAAGAAATGAGGAGGTCCAAGAACTGAACAGAAAATTTCAAAGATCAGCTTGAGAAGATAAAGCCAAATATTACAACAAAAAGTGCAAAGATCTGGAATCAGAAAACCAAAAAGGAAGAACACGCTCAGCATTTCTCAAGCTGGAGGAACTGAAGAAAAAATTCAAGCCTCGACTTTCATTATTGAGAGATTCTCTGGGCAAATTATTGAATGAGGCAGAAAGCATCAAGAGAAGATGGAAGGAATACACATAGTCGCTGTACCAAAAGGAAATGGTTACTGTTCAACCGTTTCAAGAGGTAGCATATGATTAAGAGCCAATGATACTGAAGGTAGAAGTCCAAGATGCACTGAAGGCATTGGCAAAGAACAAGGCACCAGGAATTGATGGAATAAAAGTTGAAATCTTTCAAGAAAGTGAGGCGGCACAGGAGGCACTCACTCATCTCTGCCAAGAAATTTGGAAGACAACTATCTAGCCAACTAATTGGAAGAGATCCATATTTGTTCCCATTCCAAAGAGAGATGAATCAACAGAATGCAGAAAATCATTGGACAATCTCTTTGATATCCCATGTGAGTAAAGTTTTGCTAAAGGTAATACAGAAACGGCTTCTATCATACATTGACAGAGAACTTACAGAGGGGTTCAAGCCAGATTCAGAAGAGGCAGTGGAACAAGGGATATCATTGCTGATGTCCGATGGATCTTGTCAGAAAGCAGAGAATATCAGAAAGATGTTTACCTGTGCTTTATTGACTATGCACAGGCTTTCGATTGTGTGGATCTTGACTAACTATGGACAACATTGCAAAGTATGAGTATTCTGGAACACTTAATTGTACTCATGAGGAATCTGTACGTAGAACAAGAAGCAGTTGTTCCAACAGAACTGGGAACACTGAATGTTTTAAAATTGAAAAAGATATGCGACTGGGTTGTATTTTTTTGCCATAATTATTCAACCTGTATGCTGAGCAAATAATCAAGAAGCTGGGATCTATGAAGAAAAACGTGGCATCAGGATTGGAGGAAGACTCATTAACAACTTGCAATAAGCGAATAATACAACCTTGCTTGTTAAAAGTGAAGAGAACTTAAAACATTTACTGATGAAGATCAAAGAGCACAGTCTTTGGTATGAATTACATCTCAATGTAAAGAAAACAAAAGTCTTCTCCACTGGACTAATAAACAACATTCTTATCAATGGGGAAAAGATTGAAGTTGTCAAGGATTTCATTCTTCTTGGATCAAGTATCAACACTCAAGGAAGCAGCAGTCAAGAAATCAAATGATGTATTGCATTAGGCAAATCTGCTGCACAAGAACTTTTTAAAGTGTTGAAGAGCAAAGATGGTCAGCTTGAAGACTAATGGTATTTTCAATAACGTCATATGCATGTAAAAACTGGACAGTGAATAAGGAAGACCATATAAGAATTGATGCTTTTGAGTTATGGTGTTGGAGGAGAATATTGAAAGTGCCATGGGCTGCCAAAAGAACCAATAGATCTGTTTTGGAAGAAGTGCAGCCAGAGTGCTCTTTAGAGGCCAAGATGGCCAAACTTTATCTCTCATACTTTGGACATATTGTCAGGAGGGACCATTCACTAGAGAAGGATATCATGTTTGGTAAGGTGGATGGTGAGAGAGAAAGTGGAAGGCCCCCAATGAGATGGATTGGCCAAGTGACAGTATCAGTGGACTCAAGCGTGGCAACAGCAGTGAGGTTGGCCAAGGATCGGGCAGTGTTTCGTTCTGCTATGCATAAGGTCACTATGGGTCGGTACGACAAGATTTCCAAGGAGTTAGAATCGCCAACCTTGTGATTAGCAGTCCAGTGCTTATAGTAGTACAGTGTCATATTTCCTTTTTATATATTTTGAGATATAAACATGTTAGTTTCTGAAGTTTGCAGACTATCCTAAAAATGACTTCAGTTTTGTTTCCAAATTAATTTGCATTGAGGTAAAATAATGACTGTGATAATTTCACTGCTCAGACTGACTTTTCTCATATGGTTGGGCAAACCTCTTCAATGTGCATGGCATGAAGTTATGGAAGTGCTACAGTGTGCTCCATGGTGGGAAAAACTAGGGCCACACTAAACTCTGTGAGTTAAGAGCACCAAGAAATACAGAACTTTCAGCAAGACTTTTATTTTAAAATATAATGGCATTTTTGTATTTATATATTATTTAGTTTGTCTCAAAAAACTCGATTCTGATTCGTAATATTATGTAGGGTTTCCGAGACTAAAATCTGTAAGGTAACAAGACAGTCTAATCTTGACTGGTGGTTTTGAACCATTGATCTTTTCGTTAGCAGCCTTAGCCTGCAGTGACACTGAGACCTTAATTTAATGTCTTGTATCATTGGTGTGGTGCTGTGGGTTAATGCGCCAGACTGCAAAGCTGTTTGAACTGCAAGGTTGGGGGTTCAAGCTCACCAGCTGATCCTCGGAAACCCTATACAGGGTCACTATGGGTCGGAACTGACTCGACGGCACATAACAAATCATTGGAACAACCGTTTTGTTTATTTTTCCAATGATACTTGGTAAGCTATTTTTTAGTTTATAATAACTAATAAGATGTGACATATACTGACATTTACTTGGTAGCCCCTTTTATAAAAATGTATTTGCTAAAAAAGGTATACAAACTTCCAATCAGAGATGGGCAAGTAGAAGTAAAGTGCAGTCTCTAAAAGCAGTAAAGTATATTACTATGAAGACAGCTTTAAAGCTGAAATGTATGAACTGTGGGCTGGGTACCATACTACATACTTTACCTGGGTTATGCCTATAGAAACTGAGTGAGTTTGGAACTATTACAATCACTGTTTTGTACCATCAGAGATATTAAGCAATTTTCCCAAAATGACATAGCAAGCCATTTATTTCCATAAAATCTATTTCCAGTCTCAAGTTCAGTTTGGAAGGTGTTACTATTAAGTGTTGTTGTTTTTGTTAAGTGTCGTTGAGTCCATTCCAACTCATAGCTACCCTATAGGGTTTTCGAGGCTTTTTAAAATCTTTATGGGAGCAGAAAGCCTTTTCTTTTTCCCACGGAAACACTGGTGGGCTTGAACTGCCTACCATGTGGTTGGTTCAGAGTCCACAGCTTATTGTATGGATTTACTGTGTTCTCCATTAAGTACACTTCTTGTTGTTGAGTGCCACCGACTCAGTTCTGACTCATAGCCAACCCCGTTTGGGGTTTTAGAGGAATAGCAGGTGAGTCTGAACTGTTGACCTTGTGGTTCACAGTACAGTGCTGATCCTACAGCACCACACCTAGAAGGAGTCCATTAAGTTCATTATTGTTGTTAAGTGCTGCCAAGTCAGTTCCAACCCATTGCCACCCTGTATAGGGTTTCTGAGGAGCTGTTGGTGAGCTTGAACTGATGACTTTGTAGTTCAAACTGACCTTGCAGTCCAGTGCACTAACCCACAGCACCATACCAGGACCATATAAAGTGCATAAGGAACTAGATCATTAAAACAAATGGACATTGCCATCTTGAATTTATAGAGACTTTGCTATAATCACAAAATTGATGTGTACAATACCATGTTATTAAAGTTGTAACGCTTCTCAGTAAATGTGAAAGATTTGCGGAGATTGCCTTAATAATTTCTGTTTATCTAATGCCTAGATGTGTCTAACCCATAAGCTGTTTGTATAAGTGACATGGTTTTCTTTTTTCCTTCCTTCTTGCCTTCCATCCTCCCTCTGTTTTACTTTTAATAATTTTAATAGTGCTGTAAAGAAAAAGGCGACTGGACCAAATTGGGAAATTTATACGTTAATGTAAAAGTAGGCTGTGAAAAATTTGCAGATTTCCAGAGATTTTGTGCTTGTATTGCTGAAACATTAACAAAAGACTTTAAAGAAGAAATACCAGGTGTACCTTTTTGTGAATTTGCTGAAACAGGTAAAATGTCGTTGTTTTAGTGTGATGATTGCGTGTTAGGATGATTTAATGTACTTAGTAGAGACATTAGCCATTCGCTACTATTGTCTTTATTTTGGGGGTCAGTAAGCTTTTTCTATAAAGGGCCAGGTAGTAAATCTTTTAGACTTTGTACATATACATGTAGGAGCCTGGGTGGTGCCATCAGATAAGCATTGGACTTCTAATGATGAAGTTGGCAGTTCAAACTCACCAGCTGCTCCACGGGAGAAAGATGAGTTTTTTTGCACCTGTAAATATTTACAGCCTTAGAAACCCTATGTAAGGTCTCTATGAATTGGAATTGACTCAGTGGCAGTGGTGAGAGGGAGACACACACATACATGGCCTCTGCATAGTTTTCTTTCTTTCTTTCCTTTTTTTTTAACAACTCTTTAAAAATAGACAAATCATTTTCAGCTCATGGACTGTATCAAAATAAACTATGGTCTACATTGGCCCACAGGTTTTAGTTTGCCAACCACTAGTTATAGTTTGTCTTTTTAGTAAACTCAATAATTATGTATTAATTTGCTTTTCCATAATTTCCAGTGACTATTTTGCTTTTTTCTATATGTCTGCTTTGTTTTCCAGTTAGCAAAGAAATACAAAATAGTGAAGTAGATAAAGGTTTGCTGGGAAGAATCGGAATCAGTGCTTTGTACTTCTATCATAAACTGTTACAGTGGTCCAAGGTAATTTATTAAATTTTTGTTTTGGCTTGGTATAGAGAATGTTAGTTTTTAAAAAATATGAACTGAATATAAGCTAACTTTGGTGGTGGGCGTGGTTATGTGCCGTGGAATCAATTCCAACTCATAATGACCCTGCATAGGGTTTCTGAGGCTGTAAATCTTTACGGGAGCAGAAAAGCTCATCTTTCTCCCACAAAACCACTGGTAGCTTTGAACTGCTGACGTTGAGATTAGCAGCCCCATTCGTAACCACTGCGCTGCCAGAGCTGCTTTAGAAATTAGTAATTTGTTATTAATTACTGCAGGTGACAAAATGAGACCCAGACTTGTAAGTAAATAATAGGTTGTTGTTAGATTATTATATCAGGAAAATGTGGAAAGGAGGTGGCATGAGATTGGCTACTATTTTGAATGGCAGGATAGAAAATATTTTGAAAGCCATATTGATGCAGCATTCAGTCCACAATTTATTTTGCCAACTCCTGAACTCAAAAATGAACCCAGAGTGCTCACAATTAATAGAACTGTTTAACTGTCACCTCTTAGAATATTCTGGGACAATAAATAATTTATGTGTTAATGTCTACGTTTGAGACTTAACTCACTATTGAAGTGGTTTAGTGTCTATAGACAATATTTTGCTGCTCTTCTTCAGATTTCCTTGTGGTGGTTTGTGAATTTAATAAAAGTTAAAACAAAAACAGCCAAGATGGTTGTACAGAAAAATTATCATCTTTTCCTGAGGTTTAGCACTAATTGTGGGATAGGCCTAAGATGAGCAAGATGTATCTGGTCTCTATTCTTACAGTGTAGCTTAAAGTGGTGATAGCATGAATTTATGTGACATTCAGTGTTTGGGAATTTGAAGATCGCCTGACAAGAAGATTGTTTTAGAAAAGTCACTGATTTTGCTAAAATTTTATTAGAGTGTTTTAGTTTTTTTGGTAATGTTTTCTTAAGACATAAAGGGTTGATGACTTTTTACTTGTATTCTAACTAAAAAGTTTAAGTTTCTTATTTAAAATGAATGTTTTAATTATTTTCTTCTTTAGTATGACTTTTTAATGAAATCTATCATTTTTATATACAGAGGTATATCCATTGAAATTATACTAAAGATGTACTCATTCTAACAGTAAAATAGCAAGTTCTATGACCTCATAATCATGACTTAAAATGTCTATAATATGATATAAAAACAGGTCTTCATACTGTGACCAGAAGACTGAATCTAGCCCATAGTATGTTTTTGTATGGCCTATGAGCTAAGAATATTTTTAAATGTATAACCATTTTTTAAAGGTTAAACATTTTAAAACAATAACAAAGAAGAACAATATACAATATGGTGGTCTGTAAGCCTACAATATTTTTACAGAAAAAGTCCAACCTGTTATAAAATTTTGTGTCAAATTTCTGATGTCCAGACCATTAAATAATGTAATGATTTTTTTTTTAAATAAAAATATGTATCTGGGTTTTTTGTTTGTTTTTCAACTATCTTGGCCTAAACTGGTAACAAATTATTTTCTTTTCTACTCACTCTCTTGGATCTCAACATAGTCAACAGAAGAAGAATAAAAATACATTATTAGTGATTTCCCACTTTGAGGCATGAAATCCTTTTGCCAAATGAAATCTTAATGGAGGAAGCATAGTGTGTAAAACAGATAAAAGAGCTGTTGATAAAGGGGACCAAAGGATGGAGGCAAAGAAGGAGAATAATATTAGCAAAGTCCTGCCTGATCCCCTCCTTCCGTCTTTATAGCTGAGTAAGAAGGAGCTAAAGGAGAGTAGAATGTTGGAGCTGTATGAAAACCATTGATCCAAATCTAGATCATTGGCTTCTGTATGATTATTGGTGACTTTATATATCTCTGTAGTATGATAATGATTGGTATTCATTTAGTTCTTTATTTTTACTCTAGGGAAGGAAGGTCTTAGATAAACTGTATGAATTAAAAATACATTTTACAAGTTTAAAAGGACTTACAGGGCCTGAGAAGGTAGCACCAAGATGTCAAATTGTGAATATTGCAGCAGAAATTTTTCTCAAAAGTGGAAGTCTAGATGGTGCCATTTGGGTATTGAGAGGTAAGTTCTGTATATGCAAACATAAAATAATGTGTTAAACTTGTCATAATTGGTCTTTGTAATTACCTTAAGTTGATAGCAAATTATAGGTGATAATTTGGTCAAAACCTTTTTAAAATGTGGGTAGGAAAAGTGGTTATATAAACCAAAAGGGAAAATTAACCTAGCTTTCAAGCAGAAATTGTCTGAACTATGCAGGGCAGACATCATACTTAGTACTTTATTTTGATTTTCCCAATCAATCTTGAGAAATTGGAATATTACAATTCCCATTTTATGGATAAGAAATTCTGTCAGAGATTACTAAGCAGCTTGCCCAAAAATTACATAAAGAGTAAGGAGTGGATGCCAAATTCAGATTCAGAAAGTCCAGCTTCAGAGCCCAAGGTTTTCAACTGTCATCTGACAAAGGGACATCCAATTGTTATCTGCATAGACTCTGTATTCTCATTTATAATTAAATTTTACTTCAAACCAAGACAGATAAAGCTTACTTTCCCTAGTAAGGCAAACAGTCTGGCAGAAATTACAGTGAAATTAAACAGGCAGATAAAACTGAGATTCACTTGGTATAAGATAAATAAAAATTTAGCGAACTAGAATGTCATGTGGATCCTGTGGTATAGTGCTGTAGGCTCAGCACTTTACTAACTACAGGGTTGGTGATTCGGTCCCATCCACCACTCCTTGGAAACCCTGTACAGGGTCACTGAGTTTGAACTGACTTGATGGCACTTACACATAGTGGGATGCAAGATAAAGGTAAGGCTTTCTGCTACCACAAAGATTTACAGCTTTGAAAACCCTGTACAGGGTCACTTTGAGTCTGAACTGACTTCATGGACATTCAGGCAGATTTTATTTGTTGGAAAAAGAATGAAGAAAAATCAGTTTAAAAGTTTAGGTGGGAAGGTGAAATATGTGCATGAGTAAAGCAAATGGATAACCTTTACACTAACACACCTATAGAGTCCTGGTATGGTGCTCGGGTTTAATGCGCTTGACTACAAAGTCGGCTTTAACCTCAAGGTAGGCAGTTCAAACTCAACAATCGCTCTTTGGAAACCCTGTACAGGGTTGCTATGAGTCAGATCTAACTCAACGGCACTTACCAACAACAACACACATATATTAACACATAAAAATATACACTGGCATACTCACATATTCATACACATGTACATACACACTAAGTTCTTTGTTCAAAGTGTTGAAGGTTTATGGAATATGAAGGTCTTATAAGGAGTGGACTTATAGCAGATTTTATGGTGAAAGGTTTGTTGGAAAAGGTATTCTTCAATTTGTCAAACATAGTGTCTGCATGGATGCATGATGGGGTCTCATAAGGCAGAAGAGTGACCAACATAGGAATGAGCAAAATACAAATCAGGGTTCACAGATTCTATAAGAAAGAAGAGATGTGACTAGAAAATTCAAACGATGAAAGTGTTGATTAAAATGAGCTTAATCTCTTGCTATCAGTGATAAATGCAGAATTCATGTTTGTAGTGACAGTTACAATTGAAAGTCATTTACATAAGTAAAATTTATATTTCTTCAAAAGAAATTCTTAGAATTTCTTTTGTTCTTAAAGGTTTCTGCAGCCAACAGACAGTTCCAAAAATAGGCAACAAATATAAATGATAGTGTTACTTACTTGTTATTTCACTTATAAGAAGATAAAAAAAATAAAAAAGAAGGTAAATAATGCCTTAAAATTTTTAAAACACCATTTGAATCTGTCAACTAGCAAAGATGAAATTTGGTGATGCACTTTTGATAGCCAGAGAAATGGACTCATACACATTGTCTTTAGGGGCTTTTTGGCAGAGTATCTGTCAGAAGTTAAAAACACAAATTTTCTTTACTCTATTAACTCCATTTCATAAAATTTTCCCTATAAACACATTTATATTGATAGATATGAGCGTGCACTCCTGTTATCTGAAATCTTTTGTTGCCACCAACAGTAGCAAGATTCCAGACTTGAAATGCTGTTAATAGAGTATGGGCTAATTAAACTGTGGAATTGCCATATGCAGGAGTAGGATGAGGCAGTCTATAGATACTCATTTGGAGTGATCTCCAGGATCTATTGCCAAGTGAAAAAGAATGTGCAGAACAGTGTGTACAGTATGCTACCATTTGTTTAAAGAAATAAAATGTATGCATACATATTTGCTTATATCCATAAAATATTTGTAGAGCATCAGACAAAGTTGCCTCAAGAAAAAAATGAGTGCTTGGAAGATGGGTGAGAGGCAGATTTACTTTCTGCACATACTTATTTTTTCCTTTTAAAAAATTTTTGTATTGCCAGTAAACTTTTAAGGCAGTCCTGGGGTGGCACTATAAGATGAGCGCTGGACTGTTAACTGCCAGGTTGGTAGTTCAGACCCACCAGCTGCTCCTTGAAACCCTACACAGGGTCGCCATGAGTTGAAACAACACTTTTTAAGAAAAGCCTTTGTGTTGCAGTGGTTAAGTGCTTGGATGCAAACCAAAATGTCAGTGGTTTGAACCCACCAGCTACTCCATGGGAGAAAACAGCAGCAGTCTGCTTCTGTAAAGATTCTTGTTATATGTCATAGAATTAGTTCCTATTCATAGTGACCCTGTGTAAGAGTTTTAAAGGCTGCGTATCAAGGAGCTCTGGTAGCGTATTGGTTACAATCAGCCTGCGAACCACAAGGTCAGCAGTTTGAAACTACCAGGTGTTCCATGAGAGAAAGATAAGGCCTTCTGCTCCCATAAAGATTAACAGCCTTGGACACCCTGTACAAGGTCACTATGAGTCGGAACCGACTCCACGGCACATAACAACAACAATCTTTGTGAGAGCAGAAAGCTTTGTCTTTCGCCCATGTAGCAGCTGGTGGACTTGAACCGTCAACCTGTGGTTGTCAGCCCAGTGCTTATTGTACAGAGTCACATCACTTCCTCTGTAAAGTGGTTGTTGTTGTTAAATGCCATTAAGTCAGTTCTGACCCATAGCAATCCTGAATAAGGTTCCCGAGGAGTTGCTGGTGAGCTTAGCTGCCAACCTTGCAGTTCAAACTGACTTTGCAGTCCAGTGCGTTAACCCACAGCGCCACAAGAGTGCAGCCTTGGAAACTTAGTGGGACTATTCTATTTTTTCCTATAGGGCTGCTGGCAGTCAGAATTTGGCTTGATCAACCATATACATTACTCAAGTTTGAGAAGTGGAAAATACACATTTTTTGGTTTAGTGGGTGGCAGACTTTATGGTGAGAAGTCCCGTTGTTTTGGATTCTTACTTTGACATTTAAAACTCTTTCCCCAATATCAGTAATTTGTATCCTGGCAAATGAGTGAGAAATTCTAACCCTTATCAAAAAAAAAAAAAAAAAAAAAAA